GCACAACTTTAATGAAATGTAGGAATCTTAGGATCAAAATGATAGCCACCAATAGGCATACACCCGGAGAAGAAGGGAGTTTGGTGATCTTCTCGTAATAACAACTTGACACTATCCAACAGAGAGAGAATCATGGCAGTGAGGACCAAAGCAAAGGCAGCCACTTCTCAGATGACAGACCAACTCTATTCTGGCCTACTGGAAAAGTTTTTGATGTTTTTAAAGCTACTTTTTTCAAGTCACTGAGATATTTTAATTAAATCTGAGAAAGAATTTTTGCTGTGATGTGATCTCTACTGTCTATATAGGTAATTACAACAAATATATGCATAAGCATTAACTCTGAGGAAAGGATTTCAGATTTATACTTCAGATGCATCTTCACCATTGCCAGCAGAGACATTTCCTTCTCTTCTTTTCAAAGCACTCAAGCAGAAAGATTCAGAATTGTGCTATTAGTTCAGTTTGAAGATGGTCCAAAAGAGCAATTGTAGAACTAAATACTTTTCAAAATAGAAATACTGCTTGTTTTTCTATTTCTTGAAAGTATCATGAAGGAGACAGGAACATAAACAAATCTAGTTTTTCAGACTAGTAAAAAAAAAAAACACAACCAAAAAAAAACCCCAAACAAACAACAGGCAACATCTTGCATACCTCACTACTTAAAACATGAAAATGAGTGCAACAGAATGAGCTTTCAGCAGATTCAAATACATCCATTTACAAAAAAAAAGGAACCCCTTTCCTGGAGCAGTGGTGCATTTGCTAGTGAGGTCTTTGCACTGAGCTATACACAGGTGTAACAGACTATAGTCACTTCTCACTGCTAATTAAGGTGTTATTAATTTATTAATGTTCTAAATTCTGTGGAATCAAACCATTAGAGGTTGATTTAATCCACAGTTTGGCTCACTATAATGCATTATAAGCACACCACCTTGAGTTTTTATACTATAGCCAGACCTTTGAGAAAGTAGCTGGCCTCTGCAGTGGGCTTGGCATGAGGTCTCTGAGTGTCCAAGATGCATAACCTCCTGGAGATAGGAAAGTGGGGCACCTGCTGGATGGAGGGAAAATATATCACACCATGTCTGGGAAGGGGAATAACTCCTGCAGTCCATCCCTATACTGGCAGATGGGTGTATCTCTTGGACTGGGTGGAATGAACAGCATGAGATATAGCGAGGGTAAAGGCCCCTAATTAAACCTAATCTAATACTCAACAGAAAACTCCAAAGAGATTACGAGAAAAAACAGCTCTTCTGTCTCTTTTTTAGTCATTTCACTAATCCAGTTGGCTCTAGGAGAAGCCTGGCCCGGATGCCCTGGAGCAGCAGCACATGGATGCATCGCTCGCTCCCTCCACATTTAGGGGTGAACTTCTCCATCCCTCACACAGGGTCAAATTAGCCAGCAGGATCCCAGCCCAGTCTGCAGCTGGCCAAGCTCATTACATCTTTAGTTGCCAGGAAGGCAGTTGTGACCAGCTGTAAGGCTGAGACCCCATGCAGAGCCTGCCAAAGGTCAGCAGTCATCATCTGGCCAGCTGCAGGTCCTCCAGGGACTCCAAGGTCCAGCTGAGAGGAGTAAGGAGAAGTGATGAGTGAGTCAGGGGCTCTGCAGAGGGGAAGGGGAAGGAGAAGGAGTGAGGAGGGAGGAGTAGGTATTTGCTGTGGTTAAGTCTAACTGCTCCTGACAAACAGGCTGAGATGGGAAGATGAAGATGATGAATTTTCACTGAAATGTAGCTATGAATTTGAAGTGTTCCTGGGCATAGTTAGACAATCAGTATGACTTGACTCCTTCATCCTCTAAAACCTAATTAATAAAAGTTTATAACTTTTAAGCCTTACCATAGGAAAAAAAAGGAGGTTGATCTTTTCCTACAGGCAAAATGAATGTTTTTCCGTACAAGCAATTCAAGAAATTTGAACATAAAGCAAGCAGAACTGTTATCTTGATGATATATTTAAGGGGTCTTTTCCAGGTTTCTATGTTAGTTTTGCAATGTACAGTGGGCCTTTTGATCTGAATTTAAAACATGTATTTCTCTAAAGGTCTCTGCTTTTTAAAACATTTCTTAATGAAAAATAAAAGACAATAGAAACTCCATACAAACACACCAAAAAAAAAGAAGTTGCTTCCCTCAGTCATTAGCCAAAAAAAGCATGATTTTCAGACACAAAATTAAAATACAACATTAATTATGGGGGTTTTAAAGTTGTACAGAATTATGCCCTTCCTTGTAGTGACTGACAGACAGAAAACTTGCAGCTCCTATGTTATATTCATTATTCTGACATTCACGAGGCATCCTTACCTGCCTACCTGTGAGGCCACTGCCCAGTACCTCAGAGCCTGAAGCACTCAGCCACGTAGTAAGAGTTGGGATTGGTGGAGCTCAGATTTTCTAGATCATCATCTTCTTATGTGTTTCTGGGCACTGCCTTCCTTAAATGAACGTGTTTCATATAGAATACAATTCTTTCTTTTCAGTGTCACATCCTATTATTATTATTAAATATGCTAAATGTGACCACAACAGTGTATCTTCCAAGACCACATATCTTGCCCTTCCCAATCCACAGACTAAAGAGTGTTTCATGGTGCTCACTTTCATTCCCTATGAGGATTACAGCACATTTTGGCATGGATTTTTTCAAGGATGTCCTGTAATTAAGATTTTGTTTCCTAGGTGTGTATAACAAAATCCACAGTTTGTAAACTAGCCTAGTAGGACTTAGGAAGCTATGGACAAACATCCCACAGGCGGAATACTTCTCCTCACATTCTCAGAAGTTACTTCTCAGAAGTATTGACCTTTTTGCAACTCTTAAAATGTCTGCCAGCCAAAGAGGGGTGTACATTACCAACATGTGATTTGCTAGTGTTACTCTGCATACTTCACCCAAGATCACTTGCCAAGGTCAGCACAGTGCAGATTGAAATGTTGAAAGTTCTCCAGCTTAGCTCCCTTTAAAATACCATTTAAAATCATCTGCCCTGCATTAGATCCTTGGGAATAATCAGTATCCTTGGGATGGTATTTTGGTTAAGAGGAGCAAACACTGCAGCAATGTGTGAGAAATCATGAAATAAAACTAGTGATGTTCACAGTCTTGCATAAAGATTCCTATGAACAGAAGGCTCAGGAAGTGATCTCCTGTAACCAAGAAAGACTATGTTGTGTTAAGGCACTTGCATCCTTCTGAAGCATCTGTAATGACAAGAGTGTGCTAATACCTTGTTTGTACCTCTGCACGACCTCAACCCAGGGTTTTCAAACCACTTTTTCTACTCCGTGATTACTTGGGACATACTACATACACAGAAAGCCCATTCTGTAAAGGCTCCTCCTGAAATACTCTGCTAAAAAAAAAAAAAAAAAAAATCATTTATCTCAAGGTCACATGGCAAGGGCAGAAAGTGATTTTGAGGGAAGCTGTGCTCAAGGGCCAGGCTGGCCTTGCCCTGTGTCAGACGTACACCTGCTACCCCCTCCAGCTGCAGGCTCAGGCAGGCAGGTAGGTGCCACCTCACTTTCTCTGCGGCCCTTTGTGGGGGACACAGTCCCTCAATGTGCTGTGGGGACAGAGCCATCCCTAAGTTAGGCTTCTTTCATCCTCAGTTCAGAGACGCTGCCAAAGAGCAGTCAGGTGGTAACTTTTGGTGACATGACTAAGTTGGGCTGGGTTCAAGTGAAAGATTTATCAGAGGTGAAATACCACTTCCAGTCCCGTTGGCCACTGACTGCTAGCAACATAAACACAAATGGTAAATACATTCTTCTGCCACTCTAGTGAGTTGTATATCCCTTCCCACTCAGAGTATTAATCATATGAGACATTTCTTGATGCTCTGAAGGAGGCCGTCTCTTCACCTCATCTCTGTCTTTCTACTTTCTTTTTTTTTTCATCTTTTTGGTGGGAGAGGCAGCTAGACACATTTTGAATTACAACTAAAGGAGTGGAGAGAGCTGGAAATTTTTCATGATAGAAAGACTTAGATTGAGTTCCTGGAAGAAAATACTTGTTAAGCCTGAAACAGATGAAGATTTAACCTGGTTATTTCTAGACCCATGTGGAGTAACCAATTTTTATCCTGGCTGGTAAGACCGAAGTCATTAGGAGCAAACAAATGTATATTGCTTTGCGAATATTGTGAAATACACCTCGTGGCTTGTGAAAGAGATACGTGTGGTTTGTTCTTACTAGTTTTACTAAATTTGTCTCTGACAGAACACTGAGTACAATTCCCTGTCAAAGTAACAGAGCTATATAACACAGTTGTTTTAAAAGGGGAGTCACCATGCAATTTTAGGGCAAAATCCTGGAATACACAGTCAGTCTTCACACCCAGTGAAAGAAACAAGAGCTTTACTGGTGCAGGGAAAGGAAGACGGGGAGGGGAAGATAGAAAAATATGACTATAAAATATCACTTTTACAGAAAGTAAATATGACTATGAAATATCACTTGTAGAGAAAATAAAGGAAACTGTGCCCATAACAGGACCCGTAATGGGAGACACATTTTTGTTTCTCCATGAGCCATCTCAGAATGATATGTGCTGGTGAAGTGAGAAACAAGTTCCTAGGCCCCAGCCCGGCAAGACGCTCCATCTCCCGGCTCGGGACCACCGTGATGAGGCGGGGGCGACCTAGGCTGGGTGACGGCTGAACATGAGTGCAGGCGGCCGCCCCGTAGCCGGGTCTGGCTGCCCTCCCCCATACCAGGGAATGCACTTAAAGAACCAGTCTGCCAGACAGCTCTCTCACAGCACGTTTTATTTGCAGCGGGGTTTCCGGGGCAGCGCGCGTGTCCCGAGCCCCGGGGTCTGCCAGCCCCAGAGAGAGACGGCGGCCCAAGGGGCACCGGGGCTGCCCCTCTCTCCCGAGAAGCATTTGCAGGAGGCGGCTGGGCGCGGGGACTGCTCTGGCGGGACAGCAGCATCCCCGGCGGCGGCAGCAGGCGCGGGATGCTGGCCCTCCTGGTCCCTCATAGCGCCTGATAGGTCCGTCGGGGCGGCGGCGTCCCGGGCGTCCGCGGCCCCGAGTCGATGCTGGTGCTGGGCGAGAGAGAGTCGGCGTCGCGGAGGGGCAGCCCTGGTTCCTCCCCCGGGGAGAGACGGTCCACGATGCTGGAGAGGCAGTCCAGGCTGGACAGGGCGCTGCTCTGATCGGCGGCGTAGGCTGCGCCGATGGCGGGGAAGGGGGACGGGGACACGGCAGTGCGTTACCTTGGGGTCCCACTCTGCCTTCCCCAGATGCCACGGGGAGTGGGGGGGGCCGCGGCTCGGCTCGGCTTACCGTGGGCCATCTCGGAGCAGTAGACCGCGTCGAAGCTGCTGCCTCTCGCCGACCAGACGGGACTGCCGCAGTCGGCCTGCAAGACAGCGATGGGCGAGTGCTGGCCCAGCCGCCCGCGCTCAGGGGCCAGCGGGACGCTTCCCACGAAGGGGAAGCGCCTTGAAGGCCGTCGGGGAGGGAGCCCCGGCGCCCGCGGGACAGCAAGGCAGCAGCCCCACGGCCACGTTGCTGCCGCTGGGCAGCCCCTTCCCCGCCTCCCCCCGTCCCATGCCGAACCCCTCTGCGGCACCGCGCTAAGAGAGAAGGAGAGGAGACGCCGGGACCCGGGGTTGGGGTGCCTGCAGGGTGCTCTCGGGCAGCGCTACCGCCCCACCAAGCATCCCCGGACAACCCACGTGCGTGCTCAACGGTAAATCTGGGAAGGGGCCTGTTACAAGGAAAACCGCCTGCCTTTTCCTGATGTCCGGGTGCGTTTGGCCTGTCCCACACCCATGGGTCTGGGTCGCACGAAGCTAGGCCGAGGGAGACCTGTCCGCGGGCCTTCCTGGAGTCCCCAAAGCCCGACCTCTCCTGCCTCCCTCTTACCATCCCATCGGAGCAGCTGGAAGTGGGGCTGGTCGGTTCGGAGCAACTCTGTCCCGGCAGGTGATAGTAGTTTTCTACCTGTTCCCTCAAGAGCTCCTGGAGGCTCTCGATGTATCTGATGGCGTTTCTCAGAATCTCTACTTTGGGGAGTCTCTGGTTGGGGTTGGCAGTGGTGCATCTCTTCAGGGTCTCAAAAGCTTGGTTCACTTTCTTCAGCCTCCTCCTCTCCCTCATGGTGGCCGCCTTCCGCCGGTCCATTGTGGTGGATTTTCTTTTGCAGGCTTTGCAAGCCCACATGAGGCAGTGACCGGCCTGGTGATGGCCAGTGGGAGCTCGGACATGCTCCTCTTCCTCGGAGCAAGCGGGCTCGGGGGGCTCGTGGGCGCCGAAGGGGGGCAGATCCCTGGGCTCAAAATCCTCGGGGAACTCGCCCTCTGGGGAGGAGAGGCAGGGGCTGTCGTAGAAGAGCTCGGACGGGGAGAACTTGCAGCTGTCCATCACCTCCATCCCTGCTGCGGACCCGTCAGTGCAGGACGGCAGCCACCGGCTATCGGCGAAGGCGCTCCGCAGTGCGGTGGGCAATTTCCTCCGTAATTAGCGACCCGAGACCAAGTGTCTTTTGGGTGATGCAAGGGGCCCTTATATATACGTGGAAAGGGAGGCTGGTCTGCAGCGGCCAGTCTTTATTAGCATATCCCACCACAGCCCCTGCCGGGGGCTGTCTGGACAAGCCCCCTCCAGTTCACAGGAGACAATTTGCTCCGCGCCGCTCCTTTGGAGAGCCGGGCATTTTTCTAATGAACGACCTCGCCAGAACTGGTTGCGACATCTCCAAAATTTCAACCAGTTCTGGGAATTTTCAGTTTTGGTATGGAAAGAGAAAGAGGGGCAGTGGACGCGCACGAACCACTGACATTTCCAACAGAGTTCTTCCTCATCCCGATGTTCCCATCTCCCATCACACGCTGCCTCTGGGGAATTAACGTTGAGCACCCCCGTTGCACCTACCGTGTCTGCTTGCATATCTTTATTTCCCACAGCCCGTGGTCCAGGTCTGGCCTGAAACAAACTACCCTTCTTTTTAGACCTAAGATATGTTCATTTATATCGAGGAGAGCGTTGTCCTGTAGCTAAAGTTGTGTCACCAACTGCTTAAATTTACAAATTAGGGGACAAAACTGCACAGCTACTTGTGTCCAGGAGAGACGAGGAGGGGCAGAAACCGAGATTTTAGTGCTGTCGGATCGGGTCACGGGGAAAGATATTCACAAAAAAAAAGTGTATGTGTTTGCTCCGAAACAAATCCCCTTCCCATTCTTCTACTCGTGTGACTTGGTGCTGCTTAGAGACACAACAGTCAAGCAGTGCCTTGGGCTCGCTAATGTTCTGCTTTTAGGCAAACTTGTACCGTTACAGATGCGTCCCAGCTGCCAGTGCAACAAACCCCTCCTGGAAGTGTAAAATTTCTAACCCCGCAATCCCTAAGTAACTTTACACAAGCCGGGGACAAAAGCCTTGCAGAGCCCCAGCCGCAGCAGTAGCCGAGCGGAGCGGTGCAAGGGTCATTAGAGTGGTAATGAAGCCATTTAACAGGCATTTGCTAACGCGCAGGAATCCTTTGGTTTCATCCAGGTGGCTTTTGTAGCTGAGGAAAATATTATGAGAAGGCAAAGGAAACCTTCCCTACCTGGGAATAAAATTATATGACCTAGGTTAACTCAAACGGAGAGCAAGTGACCCAGCAGCGGTTCAAACACTACGTAACCGGTCTGCGTGCCCAGGAAAAAGGTGTCTCCCTTCAGGAAAAAGCCTCCCTTCAGGAAAAGGTAATGCGGTGGTATGGCGAGCCGGTTGTCTCAAGGAGATGCTGATCAAGTGAGCAAGGCAGGTAGGGAGTATCTTCTGAGATAGGTGCCCTGTTGCAGCCACATAGCTGGAAAGCGATCCTCACGGGCGAGGCGGAGAGCAGCCAGCAGCTCGGCAGTGGTTGAGGCTGGAGGGACCCCATCTGCTCCCTATTTCCCTCCACCACCACCCCCGAATCCCCAACGGCGGATTTCCACTCTTAGGCTAAAACTTTTTCTAAAAAAACAACCATGCATACACCCTGCTTCCTTCGAGCAGACGCATGATTATCTGAAGTCTGGGAAAGGCTACATCTGCACTACTTTGGTTTATTTGGGGCCATAAACAGGGGGAGCCCCCTTTGAAATGAATACTGTAGGAAAAACAGGGAGTTGGTAAAGGAATAAAGTTACAGAAAGGGGAAAGCTCAAAATTTCAGGACTCTGTCGCTCTGAAATGCAGGTTGCTGTTTTGTTGGACCACATCTGAAACGGGGCAGTTCTCTACTGTTTTGCTAAGATAGTGTCCGTCAGAAGGGGTTCTGCTAGGCAGTAACTTGAACTCTTCACTGGGCTGTGGCGTGCACACACAGAGACACAGACGGACACATACACGCAATTTTATTTACCACGTTTGCACTGCGTAAAATAGAGCTGTTTATATATTCATGCTTCATGCATAAAAAAACCTTGATCTTTGAAGTGTCGATTGCAGTTCCGATCACCTTTCTTGGTTGGTGCATGCTTGGTTTCTCTCCAAGCATGCACTGTGGATCTCCCCGTGACCAACGCCAACCCCCTCAGTCCTGCTCTCTTGGCATGCAGAGCTTTAGCTCGCAGCTTTGACTCTTAGCTCAGCGAGGGGCTGTTAAAAACCGTGACTTTCCCCAAAAGTCTTTGAGTAGCTAGAAAAATGTTTTTCCTTTTTCCTTAAATATTTTTGGGCAAGGGGAAGAAAGCATGGAGGAGTTTGTCATTCAGGAAGAAAAAAAGGTCTGTAAATAGTATTCCTTAAGGAGTCCCTGACTTCTCTGGTAAAGCGATCTCAAAACAAATTTGCAAAAATGCAGTAGGCGAGTGGAACTAAAGAAAGGGGAGAGAAAACACGAACTACAAGGCTGGCTAATGAGGTTTCTGAGGAAGGGCGAGGTAGAGGGGCGGGGGAGGATACTGCTGCATTTCAGGAGGCTCAAGTCCGTAAAGCGGGAAGCAGCCTGAGAATTAGACACTGTCTGCTCCTATGGACGGGTAGAGAGAAAATGGTGAATGTGTCAGTCTCTCTTTATATGATGCTTCTTACACCAGTCCTCCCCGCTCCTCAGCAATCGCCGTGCCGCACTTATTTCTGGAGGGATTCCATCCCATGTGGGCACCGTTTCCAGACTGTGCCGTCTTTTTCCCAGCCCCATGCCTTTCTATTTGGGAAAAGAAAATCCCACCGACACCAGAAATCACCGAGCTGAGGGGGTGAGAGGTGTTTGGGGTCCACCCGAGGGCCCCCCAAAACCCCGGCCCTTCGGAGCGCCTTGCGCACTGTCCCGCCGGCCTCTGGCCTCGACGCAGCGCGCAGACGGGCCCCGGTGCAGCGCGGCGAGAGCGTCACTCAGGGATGAAACTTAATACTGCCAAGCCGCTCCGCTCCCGCTGTCGGTGGGTGCCGGCAGCGGCGGTGAGGGCTACCCCGCACTGCCCCGGCAGCAAAACTGTTTCCCAGTCGGGCTGGTGGGGCCGGGCGCTTCCAGCCGTGTGAGAAACGTTTGGTTCCCCCCAGCGCTGAGAACCGTGCGCACCTAAGTAAACACATTAGTACCTGCCAGAGGGATTTGTATAGAGGACAGCTGAAGAAGGCATTGGCCTCTGTTGGCTCCCTGGGACTCCCAGGAGAGATCAAAGGGACACGAGGGATATTTTCGCAGCCTTGAGACTGGGAAAAGTTGCTGGTTCCTGCTATAGGATGGACGTCCCAGCGAGCACATGGTTCAATTATTCAGCCTCTTCCCTCCCCTGCCCCCCACATCCATTCCCTGCTCAAAACAGCAGCGATCCACGCAGGAATTTTCCCCAGGAAATAGCTGCTGTGTCGCCGCCTGCCTCCCTTGACTTCGAGCTCAGAGAATAAGCTGAGCACAGTACTGGCTGTTCGTCTCCCTCCCTGGATGGTGGGTGATTTTACCAAGGAAAATAAAGATGGGAAAAAAATAAAAATAATTTAAAAAAGGGCTTTAAACACTCGGTCGTGTCACTTCAGAGGAAAGCAGTGACAACGCGGCGACACTACAGAGAGACACACCATCTTCTCCCCCTTTCGCCTTCCCGCCATCGCTCCCCGGCCCCGCAGGCATCTCGGGCGGGCTGCGATGCGTTGCCGCGACAGGCCAGGCACCCTCCGCTCCTGAGGGAGGGAGCAGGTGGTTCCCTGGGGAGTGGAGCAAGTAGGGGCTCAGGGGTCTGTGTTGAGTATGGGCTTTCGAGCCCTTGTTAAATGAAGTGCATCGGGGAGGAGAGAGCGGCGGGGGCTCTTGCATTCGCTTAAAAGCTGACTTTGTCCGTGGCCTCTCCGGAAAAAGACTTGATTAAATCACAAACCTCTTGTCTTTACCCAGTTACTACCCTTTGATTTTGTGATTATAGTGCCCTATTTGCTTTGGCTGGAGACTTGAATAAAGATTATCGTTATTAATATCTAACACAAACATCTTAATTGCAAACACACTGACGACCTTCAGTGGGAAGCCCGGCATGTCAGCCGCAGCCGTGGAGGTCACGGAGAGTCTCTCTGGGAGATATTTTCTTTATTTAATGAAAAAGACTCTCCTTTAGGCAAACTTACTCCAAACAATCGCTCAAGTTACCCTGCTGCTGGAGAAGACGCTGTAGTGGGGGTCCTGTTGGGCAGAACGGGTTGTTCGTAGAAGTCAATGCTGAGCTGCGGGTTAATCTGACATTCGGCTGCCCAGATGTCGGCGCGACACTGTGGCTTTAGGGACTGGCTCAGCACTGCTCCTGCCCTGCTGCGGGCAGCGGGTCCCGCGGGGCTCAGATCAGCGTGTGAACTGTGTGTAGCCCTTCCCGCGCACCCGGCGGGGATCGAAACAAATTAGGAAGGAAGACGACGAGCTGCTAGCCCGATCTGAAATACTCTGTGGCTGGTCAACTGCCTTCGCTACAGAAGTGAGATGCACCTCCTCCCGTCTCGCCAGGTCGCAGGGATGGCACGCAGGGGGCCGCGCTTCCCGACGCACCACTTTCTGAAAAATCCGAGGGTTCCCCGAATCAAAGGGGTTTAATCTGAAAGGAGAAAAAGGGTGAAACCGTCGCATCACTGTGCCCACCACACTGTCCCGCCGCAATTATTCTTTAGAACGGAGTGTCTCATAGAGCAATTAAGAGCTAGCACTTCACTGGTTTAAAAATCAGACTGACCACGGCGGCATAGAAAAGGCGGTAGGAAGGCCCGGTGATGGGAGAGCCGGCTCTCAGGGAAGGCTCTGCCCAGAGCTTCCACTTCCGACGGGTGTACCCGTGCCTGAGCCGGCCGAGAAGGGGGAGACCTTCCCGAAATGCTACTGTGACCTTTCAAAAAACAAGAACAAAAAATAAATCAATGGCTAAAACTGACGGGGAGAGCGCCGGCGGGTAGAGTTGAAGTGTCGTCCCTTTGCT